GTCTATCCCTTTCTCAGTATTACACTACCTCTGGGAGTTGAACTAGATGAGTACCAAGGTCTCTTCCAGCTTTACAATCCCACTAATTCTTTCCTCAGTTGCTTAAAATTACGCCTCTAAGGAAATAAATGGTCTTCTTCTTCTTCTTCTCCTTCTCTCCTTCTTCTCCTTCTCCTTCTTCTCCTTCTTCTCCTTCTTCTCCTTCTTCTTCTCTTCTTCTCCTTCTTCTCCTTCTTCTCCTTCTTCTCTTCTTCTTCTTCTTCTTCTTCTTCTTCTTCTTCTTCTTCTTCTTCTTCTTCTTCTTCTTCTTCTTCTTCTTCTTCTTTTAACATACCCAATCCTCCTTTACTTCTCTGGCACTCTTGACGCTACTGACTCCTCTGTGATAGGCTCCTCCCTTGGTTCTTTTGAATCTCCTACCTGTTTACTGTACACCCTCTTTCTCATTTGTTGACTCCTCCTCTTCCTGACACCTTGATATGAGTATTCTTCAAAGATGTAACCTTATTTACATAGGCAGCACGGCATAGGGTCCCAAATATTTAGTCTGGTGTCAGGAAGACCTTGCTGGATATACTCAACAGCTGTCATAGTTTGTGTGACTATGAACAAGTTACCTTTCTGAGTGTTTCTAAATCTGCAAAATGAATATAACAATATTTACCTCACTAGTTGATATAAAATTCAAATAAGATAACATATTCAAGTGTCTTACAGATTTAAAAGTGCTAATTGAATGTTCATTTTCTATTTGTTGTCTCTTCTCTGTTCTTTGGTAAAATCGTGCATATCTATGATTTCAACTTCCACCTCTTCGCTGATGATTCTCAAACATAATAACAAGTAATATGAAAAGAAAAGGTCCGCCTCTAGCACAAGTCGTATACGTTCTCCCATAGGTTTCCATAACACCAGAAGGGTAGACTAGTAGACAGGTAACACGCATGAAAGGAGACTCTGTGGCCAGATCATACATGTGGAGAACACAAAGTTATGGACACTTGTAACCAGGGTGCACACATAGCAAGGGCAATTCACATGCCTGATTCTGAGGAGCCATCCATATTATCTGGTGATGTCAACAAATTGCTGGGGTGGCATCATTTCCACTAGGTGTTACATCACCTCCATTCTCTAGTGTATTGGCTCATCTAGTTATCTCTATTGGTGTCATGATTGCTAAGCTGTTCTTTGATATCATCTGCAAGGCTTGAGCTGTAGAGACTCTTCAAGGCAGTTAATGTGCTGCTCTCTGCTTCTATCTGCTAGGATGGAGTATTTGGAAAGCTTCTTCCTGTTACAGAGTACTACAGCTTTTTTTTTTTTAAATATTATTATATGGCAGCTAAGTAGCACAGTAGATAGAGTGCCAGGCCTAGAGTCAGTAACACTCATTTTCCTGTCTATCTTCAGACATTTACTAGTTTTGTGACCCTGGGCAAGTCACTTAACCTTGTTTGCTTCAGTTTCCTCATCTGCAAAATGAGCTGGAGATGGAAATGGCAAACCACTTCAGTACCTTTGCCAAAAAAAACCCAGATGGGGCTACAAAGAGTCAGACATGGCTGAAACAACTGAACAATGACAAATCCAAAATACTAGTATTAATAACACATCTATATAGAGTTAAGGTTTATAAATCACTTACCAATTTTCATGGAGCATTCATTGTATTAAGGTCTGGGCACTACATTTAAGGACGAACATTGATACATAAGCTAAAATACATTCAATATAAGGTGAATAGGATCATAGGCTTTAGAACTCAATAGACTCTTAGAGATTATCTTGTCTAACATTTTACAAATGAGGAAACTGAGATCAAGAGAGGTTAATTGACTTTTTGAAGGCTACATAGGTAGAAAATGACAGTGATAGGATTTGAGCTCTTATCTCTGCTTAGGAGATGAAATTTTCCCTTTGTAAGAACATTGTTCTATAAAAAATTACTTCACTTGGACTGAATTGAAAATTTTCACAATTTTGGAAACAAGGAGAAAATTTCCCAGCAATTAGGGACAGAAGACAAAATAGTGAAACTAAGCAGAAAAAAAAACAATTAAATCATCTTAAGAAATATAGTCTTAGGGGCAGCTAGGTGGCGCAGTGGATAGAGTAACAGCCTTGGATTCAGGAGGACCTGAGTTCAAATCCAACCTCAGACACATAACACATATTAGCTGTGTGACCTTGGGCAAGTCACTTGACCCCATTGCCTAGCCAAAAAAAAGAAAGAAAGAAAGAAATATAGTCTTCAACTAGCTTGACCAATGCTAAAGGGAACAGCCCTGGGGCTTGCTCCAAAGAAGGACATCATGGAAAGCATTGCAGCAGTTAAAAATTTTATTAAACCTTCTATGTTGTTCAGTCATTTCAGTTGTGTGACTCCATTTGGGGTTTTCTTGGTGAAGATATTGACGTGGTTTGCCACTTCCCTCTCCAGATCATTTTACAGATGAGGAAACTGAGGCAAACTGGGTTGAGTGACTTGCACAGGGTCACACAGCTAGTAAGTCTCTGAGGCCAGATTTTTTTAACTCAGGCAGATGAATCTTCCTGACTCTAGGCCTGGAGTCACTGCACTAGCTAATAGTCAATAAACTATTGTTTAGTCAATAAATAGTCAATAAAGCAAGTACCTACCTAGTGCTAGGCCATATCTGAACTGAGGAAGAGGAGTCTTCCTGACTGTAGGCCTGATACTCTATCCACTGCACTACCTATATCAGTCTTAGTTTCTTCATTTGTAAAATGGGGCATTAAACTAAATAATCCCTAAGATCCCTTCTAGTTTCCAACCTGTGATCTATTCCTGTTCCTTGCTAAAAGGAATTGGAGGGGGCAGCTAGGTGGCGCAGTGGATAGAGCACTGGCCTTGGAGTCAGGAGGACCTGAGTTCAAATCTCATCTCAGACCAGACACTTGACACTAGCTGTGTGACCCTGGGCAGGCCACTTAACCCCAATTGCCTTGCAAAAACAAAACAAAACAAAAAAACCACTGATATAAAAGGAAATGGAGTTGGGAAGGGACAGAAGATAATGGTCCAAAAGTGGAGCAGGCAGAATTAGGAGATATTTTGACAACCCTAGAAATCTTCCAAGTGGAAGCTGGATGACGGTTTGTCAGGGAATGACATGGAGGGGATATTTATGAACCAGTTGGATTAAATGCTTTTGGAGTTTCCTTCCAACTCTAACTTTCTCTAAGTCATGCATCTAATTTCTGGCAGAGCTCTAACTAGAATCCAGGTCTCCTGACCATCTAAATGCTGTCAAACCCAAGTACACTCTCTTCATTTCCCACCTTGCTGCCCTTCTTTGAACTTCATCATATCCCCTTACCCCATCTCTGCCCTCTCCCCCACTTTTCAGCTTCTGTTTGTATGTTGTCTTCCCCCATTAGATTGTAAGCTCTTTGAGGGCAGGCACTGTCTTTTTCTTATTTGTATCCTCAGAGCTTAGCATGGTTCCCTGGCACATTTTAAGGACATAATAAATGTCTTTTGACTGACTGGCATTCTCATTAGTGCTCAACAGTGCTCTGAAATATTCCGATTTACACCCAATTGGAAAGTTTTGCTTGGTCATCTTATTTTTCCTTTTAACTTCCACTGACCAAGTCTTATTTTACAATCTTGATGTAGTTTTCCGTAGAGAAGTAAGATCGTTGTTGAGTCATTTCAGTTGTGTCCAACTCTTTGTGTCCCTCATTTGGGGTTTTCTTGGCAAAGATACTGGAGTGGTTTGCCATTTCCTCCTCTAGCTCATTTTCCAGATGGGGAAACTGAGGCAAACAGGGTTAAGTGACTTAGCCAGGGTCACACAGCTAGTAAGTGTCTTGAGGCTGGATTTTTTAACTCAGGCAGATGAGTCTTCTTAACTCCAGGCCCAGAGTCACTGCACTAGCTAGTAATCAATAAACATTTATCAAGCACCTGCATAGTGCTGGGCACTGTGCTAAGCTCTAGAAAGGATTTTACGGTCCTTTCTAACTCTACCAGTTAGCTTCTTTGCTTCTGGGCTAATTTTTCCACATTGAAAAGAATATACTGGAGATTACAATCAACACTGAATGCTGCATAGTGATATTTGTTCCTATAACCTTAATCTCAGTATTTTGAATTGGGTATAAAAAGTACAACCTTTTAGCTACTATGGATAATAATAGTCAGCAGTTATATAGCCTTTTAAGGTTTGCAAAAGTCTTTAACATATCTCATCTCATTTGATCCTCACAACAACCCTGGAAGGTAGGTGCCATCATTAGCAATGTTTTCCAGATGAGGAAACTGAGGTTGAGAGAGGTTAAGTCACATGCTCAGATTCACACAGCCAGTAGCTGAGGCGGGATTAGAATTGTGGTCTTCCTAACTCCAAGCTCTATCTAATGTGCCATCTAGCTGAGAATTGTTGCATAACCATGAGATTTATCAAGTTTTGAGGAGCTGTTTTTTAATGAGGTAAAGTTAGGTGACCTTTTCTTGATGAAATTTATTGGTTGTTTTTTTGTTTGTTTTGTTTTTTTGTGAAGCAATAGGGGTTAAGTGACTTGTCCAGGGTCACATAGGTAGTAAGCGTCAAGTGTCTGAGGCTAGATTTGAACTGAGGTCCTCCTGACTCCAGGGCCAGTGCTCTATTCACTGAGCTACCTAGCTGCTCCTCTTATTGATAAAATTTAACTCCATAAATGACTACCCTGTTTTGGTTTTGCCTCTGTCCCTGTGACAAAAGGGTAGTCATTCAGAAGACCATTTAGAGAGTTTCCTTAGATGTGACCACTTCAATTATCCCATAACAGGAAGTGAAATACTCTAAGAAGAGTATCATCTTCCATGTCTAATATGAATGGGGTGATTTCCTCTTTTATTGGAGGAGAATCTAAGAAAGAATAATATCCCAGCCAAAATGAAAATGTTGCTGCCTGGATTTAGCTTCTCATCTATTTATTAAAATGGTTTTCATTTTCTTTTTCTTTTCTTTTTCTTTTTATTTTTGTAGATCATCTGTCCCCTGAGATTCCTGATTAAACCAGACCTCCATAAAGAACTGTACAAATTAGGGGCCCACTATGTCTTTGCCTTTCTACCAGAAGTACCATGAGCACTACGACCGAGAGTATCGCAACAAAGATCTTCGGTCCACCATGAGCCAGTACCAACAGGCGAAGAAGAGCTCTGCTATCTATACTCATGGCTCAACAGCCTACAGTCACATGTCCTCGGCCCAGCACCAGGCCTCTGAAGCCTATGGCTCCTCGGCCTATAGGCAGGGCTCCCAGGCCTACAATCGTGGATCTGCAGCCTATTCCTTAGGATCTGAAGTCAGTAGTAAAGCCTCTTCAGCCTATGATTATGGCTACAATCTTGGGTAGGTAAAAACAGAATTTTAGGGAATGGGGAAAAGATTTGTCATTTCAAATAACTCTCTGAAATAATGATTTCTGTCCTTCCTAGTTATCGTAGCTATTTGGTACATGGAATAGAGATGGGGGCTCTTTTCTCTGCAAAGCCTGACTACATCAACCTGTCAAAGGCTCGGCCTCCTGGGGTGGAGAGTCAGGGACATGCTGGAGGTGGCTGGACCTCTGCTCCTGTCTGTCTCTTTCCCTTTGTGGTCATGATGTGCAACGTCTTCCGTGTTCGTGTGCTGAGATCTTGTTTGAGTTGTAAACTGTGATATTTCTCTTAGCAGGGAAGCTTTGCCAGATGTTAGAAGAGCAGCAGTGGTAGACAAAGAAAACATGGCTTGAACTCTCATAATAGGCTTTCTGGCTTTAGAAATGCTACTGTCTAAATCAAGGTCCAGCACAGCACTTAGAACAATCACTTGGTAAGAGAAAGGAGGGAGTGTAGCTGTCTTTATTCCATTTATCAGTGGAGAGGCAATCTGGAGATTCCTCTGGCTTTATTCAAGTTACAGGTATCACATCTCATTTCCTTTAGATTTAAAAACTTGTGTTTCCTTTTTTTTTTTTTTAATATTCAGTCACTCAACAAAAGTTCTAAGAGAGTATAATCATAGAGTGAATTCAGGAAATGATGACTAGTCCAGATTGACTAGAGCACAAAGGGATGAAGAGGGTACTAGGAGATGAGGCTTAATGGTACATCTGGGTCCCATTATGAGGACCTTAGAAATTAGCTCCAACCTGCCATGTTAACAGAATTTTGAAAGACATAAAAGACATACAAAGATAAGTTAGATATTCCAGACTTTTAGGATAGGGGACAATACAATAACACAAAATCAATTCAATTCATAGATAGTAGAACAAATAGAAAGATTTCTATCTAGAAGGGACCTTAAAGGTCTTCTAGTTTAACTCTCATTTTATAGATGAACAAATTGATGATTCAGAGGATGAAGTAAATTACCCAAGGCCACACAGCTAGTAAGTGGCACAGCCAGGATTTTATCCCAAGTAGAATGACTACAGATCAGTACTCTTTTTAGCATATCAAACAATTCAAATAAGTGTGTTGTTGTTGTTGTTGTTTAAGTTGGCAATTAGGTGGTTTGGTGGCTAGAGACCTGGCATTAGAGTTAGGAAGGCCTGTGTTCAAATCTTCCCTCACATACTCTATGTGACCGGGGGAAGGTCATTTAACTTTTAAACTCTCAACTTCAGTTTCCCCATCTGTAAAATGGGGATAATAATTGTACCTACCACCCTCAATTGTTTTGAGGATTAAATCAAATGATATGATGTATGTAAAGTGCTTTGCAAACCTTAAAATACTATATAAATGTTAACTGTGATTTCCCAGCAAGGCACTGTGCTAGGTGCTGAGCATACAAAGACAAAAAGAAGGTAGTCCTTGTCCCCAAGGAGTTCATCATGTTCTACAAATAACTCTAATAACCAGCTGAATGTGAAAGCACAATTAAGCAAGGTACCAACCAAGCTTTAGAAAATTCAGAAAATGGAGATGCTTTCTGACAGCCCGATCAGAGAAGGCCTCATGGAATGGTGAGTGAGTCTCAGCCTTGGAATTGGGACTTGCAGGATGAGTAGGAATTGGATGGGCAAGGTAGAGCCTGCAGGGATGAGGCATTCTTGGGGATCAGACAGCCTGAGCCAAGGCATGAGGGCAGAAGAGCATAGGGTGAATTCAGAGAATGATGAACAGTCCTGATTGACTAGAGCATAGGGAGCTGAAGAGGTTGCTGTGAGATGAGGCTAATGGGATAGGCTGGGGTCCAATTGTGAAGGACCTTAAATTCCAGACTAAGGAGTTTGGCCTTATGGTTTCATGGTTTAGTTTTAGTTTTGCCCATAAATAGATACAGACTATGCTGAAAATCTTCATTTAACAGAAATAATACATATACATTATAAAGTAAAATTTCAGAATTAAAGTGAATAAAATAAAAAAAACCCTTTTTTGTATAGGCTGCATTTGTTACTGAAATAGGGGAAGGGTAGCCAAACCAAGCCCCCTTGTCCTGTCATTTTAATTCTCACAAAACTTAACTCCTTCAAAATCTGACCCCATAACACATAGTGCCACATGTATCTGGGAAGTTAAAACATGTTCTGGAAAGAAAAAAATTGGTTTGATAAAGGCACTTGCTGGAATGCTCGAGGGTAGAAATCTCTTTGCTGTTGGAATATGGCCCAGGATGCAGGGCTGCCATTTTCTTAGTTCAGTCACTGAACGCTTGGCAGCTGCTGATATGTTCAGCCAGGATCTGTTAGTGTAGACCTGGAATTTATGAGGTGGTAGTTCTGGAATTCCAGTGTTAAATGGAGCAGGATCATTTTACAGGCTTCTTTTCACAGGGTCAGATTCTGCCTTGGCATATGCGTAAGTGTTGGCCGCAAATTTGGAACCATCTTCAGTGGTTTCAAGTGGCTTGGCTGACAATACTCACCACTTTGAAAAAAAAAATTGGGGAAGAATTAGTGACATGCTTTTTTTTTGCCTAAAAAATGTCCTGTGACTGTGGTCAAAAAAAGCCCAAACACAGAAGGTTCCCCTTGATAAGGAAAACAGCTGTTGAGTGCTAAAGGAGGAAGGCACCATAGATATCCATTTTCCCGTACTGCCTGTGCTAAAGGAGCCTGAAGAAGACAGGTATTTTCCATAACATGTAACCATTAATCATTAATGTGAAAGTCAGATTAGAGCTGTAACTCAGAAGATTTATTTGCTTTCTCGGCCATTGAAGAATTCCCAAAGAATATTATGTATTAGACATTCATGAAATTGCATGTTTTCCTAATTTGGTTCCTAATATCATGTAAAAATGTAAGTTCTATGAGAAAACCTAGTAGATAATATTTATCTGTCAGTTTAGCTATTATCTTAGACATGAATAATGTGCCTTTGGCATGTTTCTCTTTTATTTTAAAAAAAAAAGCCTTTCGGAAGTAAGCAGCTTCTGGAATTCTTAGCCATTTCCAAAACCCAGATAAGAAACCTCATGGGAAATGAGAATTCTTTTTCAAAGATAACCCTTACAGCTCTTTCCATTCCTACTTATCTTTTTCTGTTGTTGTTTTTTAAGCAGCCTGTTATGGTAGAATGATAGTAAAAAGGTATATCTGACTTTTCGGAATGACTCTTTTGTGAAAAGCAATACCCAGTTCCCAACCTGTATTCATACCATCAGTTATGTAGGTTTACTGAAGTTTCTGGGCACAGAACAACAACTGATCAGGAAGCCTCCACGTCAAATTCTAACATTGGGCATGGCTGGAATTTGGCCTGAAAGGACCTTAAGCTAATTAATGTCAGGGCTGAGCCCTTCCTCACCTTCTCTCCCAAAAGGAGTCAGGTGCCTTGCTGGCATTTCCTGTATTCATCCCAGATAGTCACCTTGGAATATATTTCCCACCATCTATTTCTTAGAATTATAGACTATTAGAGCTGGAAGAGGTCTTAGAGGTCACGTGGTTCAATCTTTTCCCCTTTGTTTCTCTAAGTTAGGAAAACCAGATTCCAGAGTTATAACTAGGAATTTTTTTCTCATCAGTCAAAAATAATTGAATAGGGGCTAAGAGTGAGATGGGAGTGACATGGAGGGTAGTCCAGCTTTAGGAGGTCACCCCTCTCCTCCTCCTAGGATTTAGAGGGAGGAGTGCAGGGGGACCTCCACTAGTACAGGACTCTGGGGATAAGAGTCTTTTCAGTCAATCAGTCAACCAATCAGCATTTACTAAGTACTTAATAGATGCCAGGAAACGTGATTAGCTCTGGCTAAACAAAGAAAGGCAAAAACACATTCTTTGCTCTCAAGGTGTTCACATTCTAATTGGTGGACACCATGCAAATAACAAAGCACACACATATATACTGTAAATGGAAAGTAATTTGGAAGGAGAGGGGCTTGGAGGAAGGGGGATGACTAGGTAAAGACTCCTGAAGGAGACTGGACATGAGCCGAGTCTGGAGGGAATCTAGGGAAGCCAGGAGGCAGAGGTGGGGAGGAAAGAATTTTAGCATGAGGGACAGTCAATGCAAATGTATGGTGTTGTGAGTTGGAGGGGTATGTGTGAGGAATAGCAAGCTACCTAGTGTAATTTTGTAAAGTGAAGATAGGAAGGGACTAGATTGTAAAGACTTTAAAGGACAAACAGAATTTTAGATTTGATCTCCAAAATAATAGGGAGCCCTTGGAGTTTATTGAGTAGGGGGTGGCATCGTCAGACTTGTTCTATAGGAAAACCACTTTAGCAGCTGAGTGGGTGGATGATGGATTGGAGTGGGAAGAGACTGGAGGCAAGGGAATTATAATACTCAAAGTATGAGGTGATGAAGCCCTGCACTGGGCTGGAGGTAGTTACAAAGGAAAGAAAGTCACAAATGTTGTAAAGGTAGAAACAAGTCTTAAGTCAGAGAGACCAGTTGGAAGATTATTCTAAATAGTCTAGGTATGAGGTGGTAAGAGCCTTTCTGGGATGGTTGCTATGTGAATGGAAAGAAGGAGATGGCTGCAAGAGATGCTGCAGAGGTAGAAACAAGACTTGACAATAGATTGGAAATGGGGGATGGTATGTGAGAGGGAGGAGTCAAGGATGACATCACAGTTGTGAGCCTGGGTGCCTGGGAGGACAGTGATGCTCTTGGCAGTAATCAGAAAGTTGTGAATAAGGAAGAGTTTCAGGGAAAGATAATGAGTTCTCCTGCATCCTGCCTACCCCAACCCCCTGCTGAAGTGAGAGCTGGACCACATCCTCTCCTGGTGTGCCTAAATCCAAATCTAGCCCTGTCACAAAGGATCATGAGGTGCCACAATTCCTGTTGGAAGAAGCATGCCTTCCTTCGAAGGAAGCACAGATGTTGGAGTCCTAGGGCAAAACCTTATTCCTCCAGCTTTGTTCAATTCTCCCAGAATCTCTACAGTGTTGTTTTGCACTCTCA